TTTTGGTGACTTGGCTGGTTATTTTGGACGGAACTGAGAAGATGAAACGATTTAAGCAGGGCCTTGATTTGGCTCAATCGGTCTGCCTAACCAGATCGAGTGGCAGGTTGGATTGCAATTAAACTGGGTAGGTAAGTCTTCCGGTCCATCCGACCGAGTGGTAAGGGGGCGTGTGAAGTTGACTGAAAAGGTGATCGATCGTCCAGACCGAGTGGGTGATTCAACAGTGGAGGTGTTTGAGCTGGTGAGTTGGTGAGCAAGGGCGAACATACTCATAGGGTCGAGCTTGAAGGCGAGTCGGTTGCTTGGGGCAGACGAGGGGAGACGGTTGGATAGTTTAGTCGGTTGTAGGGGTCGATCGGAGCTTGGGCTTGTAAGAGTTGGCAAGTAGTTGACGGTGATTGGTCGACCGATGTTGGGGGGCGAGTGATAGCTGGGTGTTTGTGTCCTTATTCGGTCAGGTGTCCCGGGCAATCGGTCGCTTGACACTTGGGTTTCTTGAAGTTTTGAAATTTGGGTTGAGTCGGTTGGTTGGTAACGAGGGTCGACCGAGGCCTAGGAGTCGACGAGTTGTCGGGTAGGTTGCCCGATGTTGAAGGGCAAGCGAAAGCTAGATTTAGTATCTTCATTCGGTCGGTGGCTCAAGGCGAGTGGTTCTTTGACACTTAGTTTCTTTTTTAAGAGTTCCGAATCTAGGACCGAGTCGATCGATTGGGCTGGGCGATCGAGTCACTATGTCAGACACTAAATCAGCTAGCTCGAGTGAAATAGTGGTAGACGTTAGGGATGAGTATGAGCGTGCCCCCACCATAATGATGATGCCCGAAGGGGGTGTTCCGATTGAGGTATCGACTGGAGTTAGTGTAGCTGCCCTAGGGACGAGTACTCTAGGCCTAAGTGGTTCAGGCAGGCATAGGAGAAGTGGGGAAGACTCTGAAGGAGCTGGTAGTCCGTCTTCTTCCAATAGTAACTCTAAGGAAGAGCCGAGTCAACAGGGTAGCGAGATCTTAACCAGGGATTATCCTCCCGCGCTTAAGGAAAGTGATATGTGGTGCATCCGGACTTTGTACCATATTTCGAGTTCGGTTGATATTCGAATGCCACAGTCATATGAACGGGTTGACTGGGAGGCACCGGGTTAGGTTAGTGTTTATGAGAAGTGGTTCCATGATGGACTGAGGCTACCTGTTCCTCGCCTAGTCTAGGAGGTGTTGAACCACTTCATGATTTCTCCTTCTCAGCTCATGCCGAACGGTTGGATATGGCTCTTGAGGACCTCTGTACCCGGAACCAGGTGATGTTCGGGCTGCATGAGTTGTTGTTCTCGTACTTTCTGAAAGAGAATGATAAAGAGAAGGGTCGCTATCTGATTAACGTAAGGCATGATCGATCTCACCTGGTGACCGACCTGCAGTCCAACGACAAGAACTGGAAGGACCGATACTTTTTTGTGAGGGGTCAGGCTGTCTTCGGAGAGAGAGGACAGGGAGACATCCCAAGCAGCTGGCGGGCTATTGGTGAGATCTTTGTTGCTTTCTTTGTACTTTGATTACTAAATCTTGATTATGTTTTTTGCTTGTAGAGCTTGAGTACAATCGGGCCGGGCAGAGCAGAGACGGCTTGGACGTAGCGACCTAAAGGGTTCTAGCTATTTCAAAGGATCAGAGGGATTGACAAGTAGTGTTGGCAGAGTCTAACCTCAGAACCAGCCATCTTTGGGCCGGAGTAGAGACGATTCAACAAAGTATTCCCTTTCCTTCGTTGAAGCAGACCTGGGACGTGCTTCTAGCTCGGTACTACAATCATATCATTTTTGGTGAGTCAAGGCTGAACCCACTAACCGTTGGAGAGTTTGCGCTTGCAGAGACTTTAATGAAGAAGTTGAGCGTCCCCAGCGCGAGCGAGTCCATTGCCCGGCGTCGGTAGAAGAGAAGGAGGGAGTCCTCGACCAAGGAGGATAGGAGAGTGGAGGACGTGTTGGCGATGCAGTCGAGTCAGCAGCCTGCAGCCGGAGCTGAAGCATCCCAGACCGCAATCATGGATGAGGAGGCTGAGATGATTACTTTTAAGATTCCGGCTACTGCGTCGACCTATTCTGACGCGACTTTCATGAGCAAGCTGGTCGACTCGTTCTTATTCCCAGCAGACGAGGCACGCCTAAACCAAATGGGCATAGTTACTATTGCTGACTGGGGAGTGTCCCGCACCTTACAGGTATGACAGTAGTTTTGTTCTATTTAGCTCATTGATTTCGTACTGATGACAATACCTTGTTGTGCAGGCACTTACGAGCAGCCTTCATCTGAGGAAGTCTATGGTGGCGCAAGAGAAGAGGATACAAAATGTGTCGAAGGCGAACACTAGCTTGCGCTAGAAAGAGGTAGCAGCCCGGAAGGCCGAGCAAGAGTTTCAGCAGCGTTTGAGGGATAGCGAGAGTGAGTTGGAGAAGTTGAGGCGTGAGTTGGCCGAGAATACTACAGAGATCGAGTCTCTTAGGGAGCAGTGTATTTCCATTGCTGATGATGCTATCATCAAGGCCCGGGGTGAACTCATGCTTGAGTTCAAGGAAGGGAAGACCTCTCACTGGGATCCGAACGGAGACATCCAGCTCATGTGAGAGATGCTGGAAGAGGGAGACGGTCAACCGGAGGGGCAGGATGAGGAGCAGATGCCTGATTTTACTAGTCAGCCAGGGCCGTCGGATGTTAGGGATGCGAGCGACCGGACTGCTAGGACGGGTGCTGGCTATGCGGACGTGATGACCGAGTCGGAGATGGAAGAGGTGACTCGTACTGAGGATACTCAGCTTAGTTTTTTCTTTATGTACTTTGGGGCATGCGATGCCCTTTTTCTTGGCGTGTGTACCGTTTTTTGTATTCTGAACTGAGCTGTTTCAGGCTGTATGTATTATACTCGATTGTTCTAACTTCTGATGCTTTCTTCATGGATGAGTGAGTTGTTCATTGTTTCTTTACTTGTAGATGCACCAAGTTGTGTTTGTTACTTTAGTGTGGCCCAGTGGCTAAGGCATGTAGACCTTATGTTGGGCTAGGTTGGTGCTTTGTGTATTGCAGGTGTAAGAACCATTCACTCGGTCTGGCCGATCGAGTACAAAGTCTTGGATTGACCGAAGTCAATCCGGAGGTGTGAATTCTTGGGTCGGACAGGGTCGACTCGAAGGTGTGAATCGTAGATCGGGCTGAGCCGATTTAATGGTGTAATTTCGTGGATCGGGCAGGGCCGATCGAAGGTGATTTCGTGAACCGAGCAGGGTCGATTCAAAAGTGTTTTCGTGAACCGAGCAGGGTTGATTCGAAGGTGTTTTCGTGAATCTAGTGGGGTCGATTCGAAGGTGTTATTTGTAAATCGAGCCGGGCCGATCTGAAAGTGTTATTGTGAATCGATCAAGGCTGATTCGAAGGTGCGAAATCGTGGATCGGGTAGGGCCAATCTGAATGTGTAATCATGAATCGAGCAGGATCAATTCGAAGGTGCAATTTCGTGGATCGAGCATGGCCGATCTGAAGGTGTTACAAATAATTGATCGACCGGAGTCGATTTGTAGATGAAAAATTTCTGAATAATACTTCATTAATATTTGGCCATGAGGCCGACTGTCTAAGAAGAGGTGGATAGGCCCACTCATCCCTTTAAAATAAAAAAGAAAAACAGGAAAAAGATAGGTTCACCTAGAAATAGTAGCATTTGAGGTGAACGACATTCCAACTGTTACTGATGTCTTTGCCCTCGGTGGTTTGGAGTTTGTAAGCACCCTTCCCTGCTTCTTTAGTTACCTTGTAGGGGCCTTCCCAGGTGGGACCGAGTTTGCCAGAATTGATCTCTTTGGTGTTTTGAAAGATCTTGCGGAGGACCCAGTCGCATATCTTGAAAGTGCGGATCCTCACGTTGCGGTTGTAGTGACGGGCAGCCTGTTGCTGGTAGACTGCATTGCAGATGCTCGCCCGTTCGCGCAGCTCATCGACGGTGTCCAGGTTCTGGCAAAGGTTCTGACTGTTTGATTCTTCGTCCGTCTATTGGAGCCTGGTAGACAGGACTGATACTTCGACTGGGATGACCACTTCTGAACCGTATGTGAGGGAGAAGGGGGTCTCGCCCGTTGATGAGCAGGTCGTGGTTCACTATGACCAAAGGACTCCAGGTAGTTCATTTGCCCATGTACCCTTAGCTTTCTACAATTGCTTCTTTAATGTTTGAATGATTGTCTTGTTTGATGACTCGGCCTGGCCGTTAGACTAGGGGTTGCGGGGGGTTGATAAGCTCAGTTTTATTCCCCACATGTCACAAAAATCTCTGAAGCCTGAACTGATGAACTGGGATCCATTGTCGATGACGATCTCCTTCGGTATCCCGAACCTGCAGATAACATTCTTCTAGATGAAGGCTTTTACCTCTCGGTCTCTAACTTGTGCGAAGGCTTCGACTTCAATCCACTTAGTAAAGTAGTCTGTCACAGCTAAGATGAAGACTCGCTATCCAGGTGCAGTCTGTAGTTTTCCCACGATGTCCATTCCCCACTTCATAAAAGGCCAGGGTGTGAGGATGGAATAGAGTCACTCTGGTGGGAGGTGTGAGACATGAGCAAACCTTTGACAACTATCGCACTTCTTCACATAAGCGGTCAAATCGGTGCGTATGGTCTGCCAGTAATATCCAGCAGTGATCACCTGGTGTGCAAGGCTGCGTCCCCTAGTATGGTATCCACATTCACCTTCATGTAGCTCGACAAGGACACGTTGGGCCTCTTCTGGGCTTATGCACTTAAGATAGGGGCCCGAGAATGATTTTCTAAGGAGTTAGCCTTCATGTATGGTGAATCTGGCGGCTCTTGCTTTTAGTCGTCGTGACTCGTTCTTGTCAGCTGGGAGTTCGTCGTGTTCCAAGTATCTCACTATGGGAGTCATCCAGCATTCGGCTTGTTCAATACCCATGGCTTCCTCGGGCAGCTTGTTTGGTTGTTGTTCCTTCCAGTTGGCGGGCCACTACATGAATAATAGAGGGATAAATGACTGGGAAGAACATTTGAGGTCTGAGTTGAGGTTGTCAAGGGCATCAGCGTAGGAGTTCTCTGCTCTGGGGATTTGGACAATGGAGAACTCATCGAATTGGGCCTGCAGCTCATTGACCATGCTCAAGTAGGATGTCATCTTTGAGTCGCGTGTTTGATACGTGCCTTGCAGTTGATTGACCACGAGCTGGGAATCAGACTTCACCTCTAGTCTCTTTGCTCTAATTTCTTTGGCTAAGGAAAGTCTAGCTATGAGGGCCTCATATTCGGCTTCGTTGTTCGTGCACTTGAACCCATACTGTATTGCCCGCTGGATCATGTCTCCTTCTGGCATAATCAGTACTAATCCGAGTCCGCTTCTATTTACGTTACTCGAGCCGTCTACTAAGAGAGTCCATTTGGAGGGTGGTCGGTCGTTCATGCATAACAACTCACTCTTTGCTTGGGTGGTGGTAGTCGGGGTGAAATCAGTAATGAAGTCAGCTAACGCCAGGGACTTGACGGCTATGCGAGGCTGGTATGATATGTCAAACTCACTGAGCTCTACTGTCCATTGTAGGAGTCGGCCTAATAGCTTTGGTTTGTGCAGTATCTTCTTAAGCGGGAAAGAGGTGAGTACAAATATTGAGTGACAATGAAAGTATGGCCTGAGCTTCTTGAATGCATGGATGAGGGCGAGGGCTAATTTTTCCAGCTGACTGTATCATTTTTCTGCGTCAAGGAGTGACTTGCTTACATAGTAGACCGACAACTGCTTTGTTTCTTCTTCCCGAACAAGTATTGCTGAGATGGCTGTCTCTGAAACCGCTATGTAAGAGTAGAGCTTCTCCCCGTCCACAGGTTTGGAGAGGAGCGGAGGGGAGGTCAGGTACCTTTTCAGCTGTTGCAAGGCTTCTTCGCAGGAGGCTATCCACTGGAACTTCTTAGTCTTCTTGAGAGCATGGAAGAAGAGATGACACTTGTCGGTTGATCTGGAGATGAAGCAGCTCAAGGCGGCCACTCGTTCTGCCAGGTGCTGGACGTTTTTGATACAAGTCAGAGACGGTATGCTAAGGATTGCTCTGATTTGGTTGGGGTTGGCTTCTATCCCTCGCTGAGTCACCATGTAGCCCAAGAACTTACCTGAAGAGACCCTAAATGAGCACTTGGCAGGATTTAGCTTCATGTTGTACTTCCTGGGGACGGTGAATGCTTGGTTGAGGTGGTCGGGGTGTTGTTCGGCTATCAGTGACTTGACGAGCATGTTGTCGATGTATACCTCCATGGTGTCTCTGAGGTACTCGGCGAACATCTTGTTGACCAGCCGCTAGTAGGTAGCCCCGGTGTTCTTAAGGACGAATGGCATCACCTTATAGCAATAGGTCCCCTTTTTCGTGATGAAGGCTGTCTTCTCCTGGTCGTCCGGGTGCATCAAGATCTGGTTGTATCCTGAGAAGGCGTCCATGAAACTAAGGAGCTCATGACCTGCGGTCACATCAACCATCATGTTGATATGTGGGAGCGGGAAGGAGTCCTTAGGGCAGGCTTTGTTTAAGTCCGTGAAATCGATGCACACTCTCCACTTCCCGTTCTTTTTCTTTACGACCATGACATTCGTCAGCCATTCGGGGTAGTGGACCTCTTTGATCATACCATTGCTCAGTAGCTTCTCGATCTCTTCATTGACAATTCGGTTACGCTCTGGTGCGAATTTCCTTCTCTTCTGCTTCACTGGTGGGTGATCTGGGTCTACCTTTAGCTAGTGAACCATTGCTTCCGGACTGACTCCGGTCATGTCAGCATGAGACCAGGCGAAACAATCTTGGTTCTGTTTGAGGAATTCTATCAGCTTCTCTCTTGTCTCAAGCTTGAGGCGGGACCCTATATGTGTCTTTCTCTTGGGGTCATCCGGATGTATCTGTACTTCATCCAACTCTTCCATAGATAGTTGATCCGGCTCGGTTGGAAGGGTTGGATGAGACTGTAATTGCTATGAAGAGTTACCCTTGCCTTTGAAGGTGTTCTTGTAGCAATCTCTAGAAGTTTTGGGGTCACCCTTAACCTCTCGTACCCCCTACTTGGTTGGAAACTTGATCGTCTGGTGGAAGGTAGATGGGACTACCTACATGTTGTGGATCCAAGGTCGGCCCAAGATGACTTTGTATGGTGATGGGCAGTCGATTACCAGAAAAACTGTCTGTTTGTTCACTCCGCCAGCGTAGATAGGGAGGATGATCTCCCCGATAGTATACTTCTGCTCAGAGCTGAAACCAACTAGCAGTGTCAGCTGCCTGTTGATGTTTGCCTCTTCCAGTCCTATAGCCTTCACTGCTTCGAGGAATAAGATGTTTGCTGAAGAGCCTCCATCTACGAATACTCTTTTCACTAGGATGTTGGCGATCTGCAGGGAGACGACTAGACTATTGTGATGAGGAGCGGCCAAGGTGACCGGCTCGTTATCTTCAAATTGTATTACCTGATGAGTGTGTGACCGTGAGACCGGACGGATGGACTAGACTTCATGGTGGTGGTTGGTTCTGGCATATCGCTTGGCTAATGAATAACTTACCCTACTGATCTCTGATCCTCCGGAGATAAGCGAACAGAATCCTTTTGGTGTGGGTTCTCGCGGAGGCGGTGATGGTTCTTTTGAACTTTTGTGGCTAATGGTGTTCTTCCCCTTATCAGTTAGCAAATCTCGGAGATATCCGCTCTTAAGAAGTGCAGCGACCTCTAGCCGCAAGGCGATGCAATCTGCGGTGTTGTGCCCATGATCGCAGTGGAACTCGCACCATTTAGTCTTGTCTCTCCTTGCCTTGGGGTTGAGCTTGCCTGGCCACTTAACGGTGGATCCCATTCCTTTCATAATCGCGACGACTTGGGTTGGTTCGACATTGAGGCTGTACTCCGGTATTTTGTACCGGTTCGATCTGAACTGTCTGCTCTCGGTTCTCATTGGCTGGCGATCATACGGTTTTCTGACTCTGCTCGAACTACATGCTGGGGGTTGGTAGCGGTGCTCCGCTGGCCTGTGCTCTGGCTTCCTGTCATTCCGCCTTGAATCGTATCTAGAGTGAATCGTTCGGTTTATCTCATCCTCCTCCCATCTTATCTGGATCACTGTCCGGGTCAGGGCGTCTTTCATTGTGGTGCAACCCAGCTTTGGAAGTTCTTTGTATAGTTCTCCGTCCGGGAGGAGACCTTTCCTAAAGGCATCTATGGCTGTCTTAGGGTTACATGCAGGGATGAAGATCTTCTCTTTGTTGAACCTGCTGACATACTTTCTCAGTGGCTCGCCCTTTCTCTGGTATACTCTGTATAGGTCGGCCGACAGCTTCTCGAGTTTCTTGCTATTGGCGAACTGTTCCACAAAGGTGTCGGTGAGTTGGGCGAATGAGTTGATGGATCTGTTCGGGAGATTCGTGTACCATTGGAGTATCGGGCAGGATAAGCTCGAACCGAAACTTTTGCACATGCAGGCTTCCCTCAGCGGTTGGGGTATTGAGACGGTGAACATCCGCTGCTTGTACGAGGCTATGTGATCGTCTGGGTCGGTTGTGCCGTCGTACAGTTTCATGTTGGGGATGGTAAACTTTTGAGGCATGTCGGCTAGGGCGATCTCATCCACGAAGGGTGAATCCGCGTAACAGTGGGGCTTGCTCTTCTTGGTTGGGACCGGCATTCCTGGGATGCGTCTCATCACTGCTTTCACATCGGCCAATCTCTTGACTAGTACCTGTTCCATAGGAGAAGGGGACGCCACTAGGTCATCCTGCTTGACCGGGTCGGCCTTTGCACTTGTCTTCGGCACATTTCGATGGACCGTCCCGCGCGGTGTGATTTGGTGATTCATTGCTTCGTGCACACCCTGGTAGCCTGGATCTTCGTTCATTCCTTCTGGTTGGATGACTCCCATGGTAACAGTTCTGGTGTTTCGCCCTACATGAATGGTTAGTGGAGTCATATAGTAGTCACTCGGTCCGTCAAGATGGATGGGCTCGAGTGCTATGGTTTGTTGGGTTTGGCCGTTCAACCCGTGGGGGTGAGCCAAGCCGAATTGGGTTTGTGTTGGGAAGGTTGATTGGACGTAAGGTGGGACGGTAAGGATGAGTTGGTCTTGCGGGTTCGGGCTTTCTGTCACTGGACTGTCTTGATCTTGAAGCTGGGATGGGTCGACTGAATGGTGTTCTGTTTGTGTGTCTTTATCTCCATGTGTTAGGACAGAATCGGCTAAATGAGTTTAACTTACGCGACCTTTTGCCGGAGACTGAGGGTCGGTGCTCTGGTGTGTGGAGAGGTTGCATGGATGGAACAGAGGTGCTGAACCGATTGGGGGGTGCCTGGCCAGGCAGAAACTCTAGATCATAGAATTGACTCACCTTCTCCTTAAGAGACTGGTTTTCTGCCCTGATGGATGCGTTTTCGGTCCGGATTGCATTGTTCTCGGCTTCTAGTGCGGCTACCTTATCCGAGTTCTGTTGCATGAAGGCGGTCAAAGCCTCCAGTTTGGCCTCGAGGCCGGGGTTAGCGTTGTCGGAGTTGTCAGCCATGGAAAGTTCCTCTACGTAGCAAGGTTCGTTGAGCCGAATGATTGCTAGAGGCCCCACGGTGGGCGCCAAACTGTAGACGTAAAAATCTACCTGTATGGAAGGGGGGTCTGATCCCGTGAGGTTGAGGCCACTAGCGATCCGCTGCACTTGCACACGTAGAGAAACAAACGCGTGAAGCGAACGGGAAACACCGGGGTGGTGTTTGCCGTAGGCACTCTGACGCTCAAGTCAACAAGGCTGAAAGAGGCTTAGTATAGTGAGGGCTAGGGAGTAGAGAGGTTACCGGAAGTCTAGTCGGGGACTGTGACTACGGCAGTGATGTGAAGCTCTCAAGTAGGAGCTTCGGGTGTGAAGGTGTAATGTAATCTGTCCTTTGTGAGAGGGCTGGCCTCTGTTTATATAGCGACTGTATGGTCTCCCAATCCTGGTGGGAGTAGGAGTCCTAGTGTGACTCTGATACAAACACTAGAAAAGTTAGGGCGGTGATGAGCTGTCTTACCTGCATCCGAATAGGAAGGTGATCTGAACAGGAAAACCACTTCGAATAGGAGATTGATCAGGAATAGGAAAGTGATCAGTGGGGGCCGTGGGCTCTAAACTCGCCTATAGGCCCAGGAAGTGAACTGGAATTGGGAGGTCCGTGCCCAGATGGTTTGGGCAGGCCGTATCTCGTATTGAATGGGACTAATCTGGCTTATGCCTCTTTGGGATTGGGCCTGGTCTCTTCTTCGCTGGTGGTCTTGTTTTCCTATTTGGGCCAAGGACGATTTTTGGCCCTAACAGAAGTTTAAAAACTTTCAATTACACCAGACTCATCAACTTTGTTTCGAATCCAAAACGGTGAAATTTTAAAAATAACAAACAAGACCCAACATTCTTAATAAAAATTTGTTGACCAAACTCAGGCAAGCAACAATCGTTTGAGGTCGAAAATGGTCTTTTGCAGCTGATTGAGGTTGAAAAAAGGTTTCATGGCCGCCTTTGGAGTCTGATAACGGCCGAGGGTAGTCGTGGCCCGCAGGGATGCGCGTTTCGGCCTTCTCACGATTGTCAAAGGCCAAATCCAGCCTCACTACAGCTTAAGGAGGTAGTTTGTGGGCTCTAGCAGCTATGACAAGGCTGCTCCAGACTCATTTTGGGTTTTTAAGTGAATGCAAGAGATCAATAATACCTTCTTAAAATGTTGAAATATTAAAATAATATTATCACCTGTTAGTTTTAACGCTTGAATCTGAACGGAATGGGATATTAGTGTGTAATGTTCTACACCAGTGGGGTGGTATAAGGTTTCCCAAACACGTGGGGGTTTGCGGAGAGCGCCTTTGTATTTATTCAAGTAGTAAGAGATTAAAATCCTATTTTTGCCTTCCACGCGTACGTACTCCTCAACGGCTAACCAATTTAAATTCACGCGCCTCTCTTACGCACATGGCCCCACATGCCAAGGTCACTCTTGTAATTTCCTCTACCTCTCTTCAAACTAAAAATAACAAATCCCTAATTTTCCCGCCCAAATTTCCCTCTCTTTCCTCCCATATATAAAACCAGGCAAATCCAGAACCAAATGTTTAATTAATTATCTTTTTAAGTCTCAATTAATTACAGAAATGCCAGACCTCGCCAATCTCTCTCTCTCCTCATCGCTAGCCCTACCTCGGTGTCCGACTCTCAAGCCGCTCTCTCCCGACTCAGCCGCCGAGTCGCCTTGCGCCGACTCGGCCGTCCAGGCTCTTGCGTTGACCGCCAACGGAGACTGCTGCGATGATTGGGACCGGAGCTCGAGGCTTGAGGCTTGTAGCAACGGAAATGGGAGTACCGTTAAGGTTGTGAGGCGCAGCCACGGCGCAATTGTGCGAGCTAAGAAAGTCAGTAGTTTTGAGGATCACGTGACGGCTTGGATTCGGAGAAAGATGGAATTAGGAGTCTTGCCATCAAAATGTCACCTTCCGTTTCTCAATAGCATGAAGAAAATGGTAATTATTCGGTTAAATAGAAACTTCGAGATTGGTAGGATAAAATCAGCTACTTAAGAACAAGCATAGAAAATTATTTTGAAACCCTTGGTGTTTTTAGTTTGATTCTTTATAATTGTGAGTACTTTTAAGTTTGAGCAGGAGAGAAGTTTAAATTTGTAGATTTCGTAGGCGTGCAAGTGACAATTTGTGTGTTAAATTACTTAGGTTAGGAGTGCAGAAATAATGCAGAAGGATAACTCCTTATTAAGGAGTTCCGGAAATTTTAGAAAATAGACCGTTATTCTTTAACCTTTAAACTAAAATTAGCAAAACTTCATAGTAAGGATATTTAGGTGCGGCATTAGCTTGAGAAAGGGCTTTGAAATTCCAATTTCATATAATGAATCTTTAAATGTTTGTTAAATAGATCATCTCGTGGAAAGGGAAAGGGTGTAGTGCTCCTTGGCTTCACTGCTACTGTAGTTTGTCAATTTAAGGTTCAATAAAGTGACTGAGGAGATGTGGAAGATTGCTCCATCTTGCCTCTCTTTGTTTTACAGAAAGAGGGAAACAAAATAAAATTTTCAATCCTAGGAGCTCTTTTTTTTTTTAATTGCTAACTTCTAGCTCAGCTGCCCTAGTAACAGGGATCTTACTGGTTGACTAACATGCTTTTGACAACTTAAATCTTGTAGGTTATGGCTTCAGTGAATGTTTTATTGAAAGCTTTTTCTGTACCTTGTTTCTTTTGTTCAACAAGGCTTGTTAAGCATTAAATGAATTAGAAATAAGATGTGTGGTAGAAGTTCTTTTTGTAAGTCTTATGTTCTGTTTACTTCAGACTGGACACGAAAACAAGCAAATGGTTTCAAAATCTTGTTTCCTACCTCTCTATGGTGATAGTCTGGGTGACATTAGATGTTTTTGTTTTGAAACTTAGGTTGTATTATTTCAGTTTGCTTTTTGACAGCTGATATAAATGATGAAGTGTTGAGGTTTCTCTGTGGCTTCATCTCAGGTTGAATGTCTTGTTTGCTGTAAGATCATCTACCCTGGGGAAGAGTTGTTATGCACTGTTCGTGGTTGCCAAGGAGTTTTTCACTTAATATGTGCAAAGGAAATACTTCGGATCTCTAATATCAAAAAGTTCAAGTGTCCACAGCATGTAAGATCTCATGAAATATATCTTTTCTTTGTTCTTAAAAACTTTCGGCATCATTTCACCGTGGAAATTGCTGTAAAGAACATTTAGCTGTGGGACTGATTAATGATGTGCAAGTTTTTTAGGAAGATTTGAATGGAGCTCTACTTTGATGAATTTGAATAATTTCTACAAGCTAATTCTGAAGAAGAGAGAGGAAGAGCACAGTATGGGAAAAAAAATATGTTTTTGAAATTTCCTTTAAGCCCTGGTCTAAAAGATATTCCAAGACACTTTTTTTTTCTGTTTTTTTTGACTTTATTCATATGAATGGTAAAGGGGTTCTGAATTTGAGGGCTGACTTGGCCTAAGTGTTCAAATAGTTTTATAATTTATATCACATTTGCATTGTTTTGATACCCAATCCGGTTGCTCTTGTAATGGTTGAGTGATCATCCGCTACACGTTATGTGCCCTCTCCTTTTATTCTTGATATATTCTCATAGTTTCTTACAGGAAAAAAAAAAAAGTTCTCGAGTCACATTTCTGTTCAGTAACTTTGTTTTTTGTTGTTTCATTTTAGTTTTATGTTCTTTAAAATTCATACTGTATTTCCAGTTTAGAAATTGTGATGTTCTCCCACTCCCAGATGATTGATTCGTAATGTTTTTACCAGAGGTTATAAAAGTCAAATCAGTGCTAATTTCTACTACATCTGTTGCTCATCTACTTGACATATTCTGTATGCAGGCATGCTTTATTTGCCGACAGAAATTACAATGGCGATGTGTGCGATGCGAAATAGCATCACATGACAAATGTGCACCATGGTCAGAGAAAGTGATTCATTTGAAAGACCAACCTGGACGAGCAGTTTGTTGGAGACATCCAGCAGATTGGCGGCTAGATCAGAAGGTCAAATTCTTCTTTCCTTAATCAGTAATGTCTGTTTACTGTATTCACCTTACTAACATATCATCTATACTTTACCTTTTTAATAAAAACCAATACCGTATATTTAGGTTGAGATCTCACTTTTATCAGCTATAACTATCATGCTTGTTGGTTTACATGTATAATCAACTTAGTAGGGACAAATATAGCAGCTAAAGTGAAATATCCTCTGACTACAGGTGAACCCCAAGTTAGTTTTCTCTCATGGTTGTTGTATCCCATAGGACCCGCCAGTGTACATATGTATTCTTGTGTTTGTCTGTTTGGTCAATGAACTGGTTCCTTTATACATGCTCTCAAGTTCTTGTTTAACTGACCATCAAACGTCTACAAGAGGATGACCTGAGCTTCTTGTAATTGAAATTTCGTAAGACAGATTGACCATGGAACTGAGTTATTCTTAATATTTAGTATAAGCTAGTTACCTGTATTCAGACAGAAAGAACCAAATGCTTTTCAGCATATTATGACCTTGTAATTGAATCTTTTGTAATTTTTGTTGAGGTTTTATTTCTCCATTATTTTTTATTGATTAGGCTGGCTGACAGGACTGATATATTTGTTGAATGAGCAGCATGCAGAGGCAACATGTGATATAGAGGTCAGATTTTTTGCACACTTCTTGTAAGGATTATTGAATTTTATAATGGATGGTTTAAAATATATGCATTACTTTTTCAAGAGATATTATGCCACGTCTGCATTGGTCGGTGGGGAAAATGGCCACCCAAACCCCCTGCTCTCCCTTCTTAATATGGAGCTATGTAATAGTACAATACACATGAAATTTCTTTCTTTCCTAAGAATTGTTCTGGATGTGAGCTTTTATTGATTACCTATTTCCTAATTAAACCAATAATTGCCTTGGGCACTGCTCAAATAGTGTGAAACAGGAGAGGATGAAAGTAATGTGCAGGCATGATTACGAGATATGTTGTTAATTAATCACAATAAGTAATATAAATATTGTATTTGAGTAATTAGCTTGTCATTTCTACATCCCACAGGCTAACCTTTTTCCCTGTCTCATATTCTAGGAAGTTTTCTCTCGCTTACCTCTACCTTATGTGGATGAGGAGTTCAAGATTGACTTCACATGGAAAGATCTGACTGGGAATAAATTGGAGCCACCTTCATATGTTCACATCAAGCGCAGTATCCTATAAATGCTTTGTGTTATATTGAGCAATTTCATACACTGTAGTTGATTGGTTTAATACGTTACTAAGAACTGGTGAAAGGAATAGTTTTAGTGTTTCCATTTTGGCAGATAATTGTTAACATATAGTGTTACCAAACTGACCTTAATTGATATTAGATATTTACCTTGTAAAGAAGAAGCGTGATGATTCTGATGATGGGATCGGATGCACAAGTTGTAGATCTGAATGCTGTGATGACTGTGTTTGCCGGTATTTCCTGCTTATCTTCCAAGTTAAACACTGATAAACTGCAATAATTATGCTAAAGATATTAGAAAGCAATATTTATCTTTTGTTATGTTACATGAACCCATTGGTTGAAACTTTGTGAAATAAAGACGTTATAGTTAGCATTTGGTCTGCCACATACCAGTTTTAAAGCATAAACTTGTTATCTTATAGGGTTCAATGCATTAGCTGCTCAAAGGCTTGTCACTGCGCAGAAACTTGCACCAACAGACCATTCCGCAAAGAGAAGAAGATCAAAATTGTCAAGGTGAGAAATTTTATCTGTAGACTGCATCAATTATGTCCTGAAGTTTGTATCACTCGAGCAGAAAACGTCGTAATCTTAGTTTGTTCATTAACGTTTTTTCTCTAGAAAATTTTCTGTTATGATATCATTAAAGGATTGTCTTCCTTTTCAGACTGAATTTTGTGGTTGGGGGGTGGAGGCTGCTGAACCCATCAGTAAAGGAGAATTTATAATCGAGTATATTGGGGAAGGTAGTGCTCTTGATTGGACCTTAGCTTACATATTTATATGTATTTAAGCATTTTTTAGGATTACCTTGCCTTGCCTCATATTTTGCTTCTCGTTTTGAGGATTTTGAAGACATGGATGTGAACTTTGTAGGCTTAGAAGTCTCTTTTACAGTTCTTCTTTTAGATGTTATCGCAAACATTTATTAACGGTTGTCTTTCTTTATTAGTTATTGATGATGCGTTGTGCGAACAAAGGCTGTGGGACATGAAATATCGAGGAGTGAAGAACTTTTACATGTGTGAAATTCGAAAAGATTTTACAATTGATGCTACTTTCAAGGGGAATGCATCTCGTTTTCTAAATCACGGTTGCGATCCCAACTGTATATTGGAGAAATGGTAAGTGCCACTAATATTACTACGTCTACATTTATACTCAATGGTAATAAAAGATTGCAGAAGCTTCTGGTTCCCTTCAAGATTATGAATTGGATTTGGTCCTCTTTTCAAAGAACTATGCTGGGCTTTATATGATTTAACATTTCTATTTTGCTCTTATTGAAGGCAAGTTGAGGGGGAGACACGTGTAGGTGTTTTTGCTGCTCGCTCGATTAAAGTTGGAGAACCATTGACATACGATTACAGGTATGTAGGACTCAACTGTATTTGCATAAGTTTGCACCTGATAATGAAAAATTGGTGCTGAAATTAAGTTTATTTCTACACTAGCATTCTCAATTGAGCTGGAAGATTAGAAAAGAAATGATTTTTATTGAGGTAAATTGACCAGATGAACATATCAGACTGCCATGGTTGATAAGAATACACAATATTTAGACAGGTTCAACGAAACTTTGGATGGTTAAGATTTAATTTAACTTTTGCAATTAATGTACTTTGAAAATGACACAATTTAGATATAATCTCGATCATTCAAATGCATTGATCTAAGAACGTTTGGAAATTTTGAATTTCATATTGTTGATCTAAGGGCGGTTGGAAATTTATATTTCATATGGTTGATCTACAGATTTGTACAATTTGGGCCTGAGGTGAAATGCTATTGTGGAGCTCCATCTTGTCAAGGCTATCTTGGAACCAAAAGAAAGGTGAGTAAATTAAACCTTTGTTGGGGTTCAAAACGCAAGAGAACTTCCACTGCTTGCCTTGCTATTATAGCTCTATGATTTGTTTTCACAATCAGTCATGTTGTATATCAATCTTTTCATGTAATATTTTTGCAAAATAAAGAAAAAGATTAAAAAAAAAAAAAAGAGAGCGAGACAAAATACCAGTCTGCAGGCATAAACTTTCATTTAAAAGGGCAAAAAATATGTAATTTTTATTGATTTGTTGTGCTAACCTTTTCCTAGAAATTTCTGGGTACCTTGTTGTAATATTGAAACAAACACGTGATTGATTTCCCCTTTGTTGGGTTACTCAATTGTATTTTCATGAAAAATATTTTTGATATTATATCGAGTTTTTTGTGGAAAAAACAAATTATCTTTCTAATTGTTAAATTTTATATAAGTTGATCTTAGAAGCAGCAGGGAAAAGGCTAAGAACTGGCTTGATCAAGTCCGCAAAAATTGAAATTACAGGTATCAATTTTTTTTAATAAATAATTCAATCTAATAATTTAATTTCCTTGACATTCATTTATCCCGATATAAATTCGTGAATTCATAATATAAGGGATCAATAACAAAACATGTATTTGTAATTTTTTTTATTGAGTTAACCCAAAAAAAAGTTTCATTAACACTTTTTCACTTTCAAACTTCTAAAATACTCTCTTACTATCTAAATAATATATTTCTCTTTTATTTTGGGTGGGAAATATAGTGATTTACAAAAAAACCCTTCTTCTTAGCCTCTTCCATTGCTTCTTTTTTTAGCCTTTTCCCTTGTCGACGATTGTCGTCGATGTTGGGGAGCATCGATGACAAGAAAATATTGCAAACAAGCATTTCTCAATTGTCTTTCAATCCAACAAACACAAAAATTGAACGAATCAATCAAATTAAAACTCGAAAAACCTTAGGGTGGTGGAGCGATTGGTGGGCAAACGAGATCTAGGATGTTAGGGTTTTTGGAGAGGAAGATCTAAGGAATCGATTGGTGGTGGCAAGAAAGATTTTTGACATTGGAAACGATCGAAAATTGACTTAGAAATCGAAAGGTTGTGCGGTGCATGGTAAGTGGGCAAGGGACAGTGATGGAGGTGAGGGTTTTGTAGAGTGGGTTGTGGAGAGTGTGATGGTGGTGTTTGGGAGAATTTATGGCAAAGAAATTGATTTGGAAATTTGACTTGAAGAGTTGGCTATGCGAATGGAGGTGGTGGTGGGAAATGGTGGATGATGACAGCAAATGGAGGCATAGGCTTTGTAAAGGAGGTGATGGAGATTCTCTGGGCGGTGTCGGAAGTGATTTTGAATGTCGGGATCGGTGAAAAAATGGCAAAATCAGTCGATCTGACGTTGCTAATGTGCGTCATCTTTTGTTAACATGCATCGTTCTTCTTCGATAGCCTTTGTTTGATGACCATTCTGTCTTCATTAATTTTGGGCTTTTGACTATTTTGCCTTTTCTGACAACAAAAATTACTAATAAAATTATATTTTAGGTACTAAAATGGTATTTAAAATGTGGGTGGGTGTGAATTTGTCAATGGACTATTTTTTGGGTGGGAGCATGTCGTTAACTCTTTTTTTATTTTGTCTATGAAGCACGACTGTTTAAGTGTTTATTCAAGTTACAAATTATATCTCCATAAGCAACTCTTGGGAGCAGTAATCAGGATTTAGGAATTAAATTGAAGTAGAGTTACATCAGACAGATTAAAATTGATCAGTAATTCGTAAATACAGTACGAGCTCATACAAATTGGAAACTGAAAATGCAAAATTTTTCAATTTTTAATGAATTTTTCTCTTTTTTATACAAGATTATGATAACACCACTGTTGGGTCACCATTTGGGTCAAGGCTATCTTGGAAATAAAACTAGTCGGGACAGATGGACATTATACACAAGAAAGTAGATCTCGCCGTCAGAGCTCGTACTGTATTGGTGACCCGCTTGATGAGCCAACCGCGGGGGGTTTATCCTAGAACCTTTAACGTCTGAACGTGAACGGACCTCAACCCTAGGAGGGTAAATGCAATTAATTGTCTAAATAAATGAAAACTCTTTAATCTCTAATTTTATTATATAAGAAAACCTAATGAAAATAAAAATTATACTAAAGATTGCAAAATTCCGGCCAATTAAGTTTATTTAGTTTTACTTGAGTCTAGATCCAGATAAATTCTCTGGATTTTGTACTTCGGTTGGATCGGTATTATTAGTAAGGCTCCTGGGTATTCTCGGGTCCAAGAGATTCAGGTTTTTAACTGTGTAACCAGTTCAGTCAAGGAAAAATCTACAAAATAAATGAGTAAAGTTTTTCAATAATTGACGTACAGTGTTACGGTGGAGGTCTGTCTTGTCCTAACTTGTGTTGCGATACCACATGTGAATGTGATAAAAATGGATATATAGAATTCTAAGGGTCGGTAAGTAAGATTACCCCACAAATCTTCTTGTGGGATGGTCAAGTCGTAAGTGCCAAACATTGACAACTGGAACCGAAAGAAGGGCTCACCTTTGCTAGGATCAAATGGTACGTAGTCTATCATTTTTCTCTGATTTGCATCTGTAATTTTTTTGGGTCATAGGGTGAATCATTCATGCTGGAAATGTTGGCATCTACTTGTACTGGGCATTAAGTTTTCCATTAAGCATTCATCTATTTAAAATTACAGAAATTAATATACAAAGGAGATGACAGTTGTTTTTTGGAAGTGAAAGGGGCCGCATTGTCAGAGCGGTTGAAGAATCCATTCCATCTGCAGCCACCAATGCTCTCTGCTAAATAGATGATAATTCATCTAGATGCATAATTTTGTTCGCAATTTGATTTGAAATCAAGGAAGAAACAGATTTTGAAAGTTAATCCTATTGCCCATTTTTTTTGTCCTCTTCTCAACCTTGTATAAAGCACTCCATTGTCGAGAACTATGGCACTCCAAATGAAGGGCATTATGGAATTGACCCATGACATCATTCTTAACTTCAGCTATTTTTAAGCATCTTGGACAGCTTTTTCATGGTTCCAGTTATGAGATACAGAAAAGATAACCTCTCAAAATTTTTGGTCCTCTGGTAAGCATATTCCACAATCCATGCATTACCCTGGGGAAGAGCCTCCACACCCAATCTGTACCAGTGATCTTTCTCATCTATCTCATCTATCCATTCAAGTTAAATTGCAGTTGCAATTGTGTCAGCGAAGGAGATAGAAGGTTGAATGTCCCGAGGGTCCCCAAGTTGAATGACCGATCCAACGATTCAATGTCTATCTATTCAAGTCAAATTGCAGTTGCAGTTGCATCAGCGAAGGAGATAAATGTCTATCTATTACCAGGGGAGGAGCCGGAAACTTTTTATAGGAGGCCAACATGTGATGTTCACTGAATGACAGACCAGAAAAATTTAAAGTAAAAATTTACGGGAGCTAAATGTTATATTTAGAAAATAAGAGTGGCCAGACAAAACTAAATTTATAAGGGGGCGTTTGGTTGGCGGTAATGTCAGATTATTGGGTAATGTCATCTGATATTACTTGATTACCACGTTTGGTTGTCAAGTAATATAAGATTTTGGTAATCTTCGAATACTAATAGTAATTACTATTGGTAATATTGGAGGTAATCTGATTACCTCTATTTTCTTAGGTATTTTGAGATTATCAGGGTTATCCTTTTTTATTACAATTTTATCCCTTATTAATGAAAATTTTGGACAATAATGCCCTCATTTTAAAATAAATTTACATTAATATCCTATTTCAATTTTAACCTTATTTAACTAAAATTTTGGACAATAATGTCCTTGAATTTAAAACAATTTACAAACCACTGCCACTCAGCCACCACCACCACTGCCACCCAGCCACCACCGTCTACAGTGGCCAACCACCACGGACTACCTCAAAAAACTCGCTGGAGTCCCTAAAAAAGAACGAGTTTCGGTGGGAGGCTCCAGGAGTCATCGCTATGGCCGTTTTCGGCCATATTGATGGTCGAAAACGGCCATATCAGGCCAGATCTAGCTGGAAATGGCCAAAACTATTCTGGCCGAAAATGACCAGAATGCCAGAATAGTTCTGGCCATTTCCGGCCAGATCTGGCCTGATATGGTCGTTTTCGGCCATCAATATGGCCGAAAACAGCCATATCGAAGCCTCTTGGTCACGGTGAGTTGCTGATGGGGACTTTCGGAGACTTCCGGCGGTGGTCTGAGGTGGCTGCAAACGGCGACAGGAGGCGGGGGTGATTTCATAATAAATTAAAGTTTTATATAAGTAGGGGTGTTTTAACTAAATCTGAAATATTGGGGGTTAAAAGAAATTATTCAAAAATTAATAATAAAAATAATATTATATTAATATTTGTAAAGGGGACAATTTAGTAATTTAAATAACATACCCACCAATTTATATTCCCCATAACCAACTATATTAATATAACATACCCACCAACTAACCAAACACATTTTCTTAAAGATTTCCAGTAATCTTTCAAGGTAATCTATCTTTCTAGTAATTTAACATTCCCAATAATCTAACATTCCTAAACCAAATGCCCCCTAAAGAGTATAACTATAATCTATTAATCTTCATCAAATAAAATCTCGATGTTTTGTTAACATTTTATTTGTATTTTTTATACCATTTATTTGAATAGGCTCTAAATCTATAAAGTCTCTGGATTTTGGGCTTTCGGCTGGGCCGCCATTGCTCAGAGAGGTCCCTGGTATTCTTGGGCCTTAGAGATTTTTAATTATATAACCAATTTGTTTAAGAAAAAATATACAAAATAAATTATTAGCGTTTAAAATAAACAATAATAATATAAAATTACATCAAATATAGAGAAAATTACTAATAGGGAAATGATTTTTAACCCTCACTATCTTTTTTAGCCCCCCGTCTTCTATTTTAAGTGAGGGAATAATTGTAATAAAAAATATTTCCCCCATAGTTTTATTTCAAGCTTTGAATTTGCCAGTTACAACAAAATTATAAGAAATTTAGGTCAATCACAATTCTTATTTCACAAGTAAATTAAAACTTAAGGTATTAATTATCAAAACTACGTAATGTTTCTCCTTTAATTTCATATCTCATATATCTCATATCCTTTTAGATTTAAAGCGAACAAAACTATTGTTTTTAGATTGCTTTTAGAATTAACAACGTTATAGAAATATAAAATATTAAAAGATTTCACATGTTAAGCAAAATTATGAATATGTATGTAAATCCTTCTTAAAATTTTTGGATCTGTATGAAATTTCATTGTTAATAATTTTT